CCAACGTGTTATCGCCAATCGCTTGGCTCGCCAACAAGATTTATGCAATGGAAGAAAAAAGCAAGGAGGTACATGTAGCCAACATGTACTGCCACGGACCTTGTTTACTGTCTAGCACAACGCCGTTGTCAACGGTGCAAACTCGTGTTCAGTGCAACGATAACTCTACCAGATCTTACGAGAATCAATCTGTAGTATTCTGTATACCGAACTGTATCAAAGCTTGTCAAAACTGCTTTAAACACTGCAGCTATAACTGTGAAACTATTGAAATCTAAAGTGACATTATTCAACACATGCGAAAAGCTGAAAATAGACACAACGTGACCTTCGAAAAGTCAAAGGTCAATGAGACTTGTTATTGTCAAACTAACCTGAAGTTCAGGCCCTATCACAGAATAGGGCCTGACACAAAACCTATCTAAAGTGTGGGATTCCCGTCCACCTGGTGGACGGGAAATCTGATTGGTTTATCAGCATCATGAACGATTTTGATTGGTTGCAAGTTCACGTAAACAACAGTTTTAAAAATAGCTCGGTCAAGGCGAGAATTAATATAAAGGTCAAACGCACGTAACAAAATTCCATTATCGATTTCTTCGAATTTCTTTTCTTTTATGCTTTATGGAAGAAAATAAATCAAACAAACACTATTTTGAAAGGGCTTCATCAAAATATTTGACGAATTTTGTACACACACGACGCTGAAAGAACAGCCAAACGAGTCATGTATTCGAAAGCTTGTTGACAGCCAAGATGTTCTGCCAACTTGCTTCGCCGGCAAAAGTCTTATTTTTAATATCAGGTCCTACCGGCGTTGTTTTCTGAGCTACATCGCCTTCTTCGTGGTATGATTGAGAATTTAATTGTTGCTGTTATTAGCCCGTTAGTCGTTAGAGTATATCCGCGTCCAGCAAGTTGAGACCTTGAGAAAGCTTGGCAGTCAAGCCGTGCACACTGACAGAACTGACTAATTAAATCTTTGTTTGCTGTTCGCCTGTTCGGTTAAATAGAGAAACTGACTCTTAATTATATAAAAGTACCTTGAATTTTTAAGTTTAATTAAAAAGCAAAATGCTCTGCGGACACGTTCATGAGAATATAATTTTTTTGTGTATTAAAAACGAAATCTACAACACTTGTCAATCATATTGCATGTGTGTCTAAGAATAACATGTGGGCGTCTCACGGTCTAGACAGGTTTTGTGTCAGGCCCTATTTCAAATTAGGGCCTGAACTTCAGGTTATTGTCAAACATGTCACAATTAGGTTAAAATGCGGAAGCGGATGGAGCGGATCCACGGAACGGATATGCGGATAAAATATGGAACCGATGAAGATAAAGTGCTTCCTTTCAATGATATAACGACGTAGTGCTTATTATTCATAACATATTGTATACAGCTATTTCAATTATAGTTTTAGATAAGTTTAGCATAGCAGTAGCCTCGTGGGGATGCTTTTAGCGACAGCTGCAAATACAAATGCAAATGAAAATTTAGAATATGCAAAATTTGGTTGTTGGTGAAACAATTGAATTTTAGCATGCGTGTAGCATCACAATAAATAGATAAATTGTGTCAGTTTCACAAGGCACGTTTCTGATGTGTCGGGCTTGTTTCAAACGTCGTGCGCCGAGCGCATGAGATGAAATGCCTTTGGTAATTGTTTATTTCGTAGTGTAAGCGATCAGCTTTTCTAGGTTGTCGGCGAACCTATATAGTTCTTGCAGTGTCTTTTTCAATTTGAAACTTCACACTATCCTTGGATCCCTAGTTGATAAATATATAGCTTGTTTGGGTACTTATAATGTAGAATAATGAAACAAAATTCTCGAACTCAAATTTTGTAAACCACGAGGTGTGTCTTTTCCAACAAACTAAAAATGGCTTGCGCACGAGATTTAAGAGCTTTAATCGTATTTTGAGTTAAAAAATGTGTTGGGTGTTTAATTGCTGCACGAAATTTCAGACAATTATGTGCTTCAGTTTAAGCCCTTTAACTATCCACGCAAACTTACATTTTTTCCTAAAAAATCAGCCTTTTGCAAGCTTAATTATGCCTTGCCTAATTTGTATATATCAACAATATGCAAATTAGATAAAGGCATTAATTAAGCTTGCCAAAGGCTGATTTTTTTTGGGGGGGGGGGGATGAATAGTTAAAGCGCTTAAACTAAAACAAATTGTCTGAAATTTTATACAGTAATTTTTTTGAAAACCCAACAAATTTTCCATCCATTAACTCGAAAAAGATCGATTTTTAAAATCCCATAATGAAGCAAATATTCGACAAACCTGACTAGGTAACAAGTGGATCTCAGGCCTGTCTTTCTGAAGTTGGTCTATAAAAATGAGTTCATATCTTTTATTATAGAAATGATATTGAAAAACTGGAGTTAGAAAACAAACGTCTTCTCGAGAAAGTGGAAATACTCGAGGCAAGAATTGAACAGCGAAACTTGCAGGTATATACTGTACGAAAAGCTGTGTGTACAATATCTGACATGTTCAAGTTGTCAGTAAAGGGACTGATCATTGGGGCGTTGCACCGAAGAGAAATGTTTTTTTTGGTAAATTTTTGCTGTACTAGCCATTGGGTCAAATTTTTACCCAACCTCAAGTATCAATACCTATCCCAGTTTCACACATATCCTTTACCACTTCTGGTCATGCTTTGGAAATGACAATAAAGTTTTATTACCCAACCCTTGAATTGTTTTGTTTTTCATTTACCCGAACTTTTACTCATTCACAATTTTGTTTACCCAACCTTTTCTCTTCGGTGCCACCCCCGGCCATAAATGATGTCCGATCCCTCTAGTGCACATGACACGAAATATCCCCCTCCCCCATTTTTCCGTATTACTTCAAAGTAATGGAAATGATGAAGAATGGAATGGCTTTAACAATTTATACACAGTTTACCTCGTTCCCAAGTTGTCGGACATTTTGTATTTTGTGTTATGACGTCACTAGTTGTGCTTAAAATGGCAGCAAAAGGAAGGTATCTCAAAAGCGATTCAACAAAATATGAAATTCAATTTGGTACAGTTAGTAAGTGCACTTAAGCAAACATTTTGGAACTTTTATGTGGTTGTCATAGCAACACACTAGTCACTAGGTCTCTGTCTTAATATAGTAATGCTGGTAGACACTTTGGAACGAAAGTTTTATTTAATTCATATTTAATTGACTTTCCACTTTTTGCTGCCACCTGAAGTAGTGTTGCACCGATATCCATATCAGTGTAGCGGTTTCTGCTTATCGGTACTAAACTAGAAATATCGGTATTTTTGTTGTTGATATTATACTGATATCTAAGGAAACTAGTTAAACGAATTCTTTACACCAAAAAATTACGAAAAATCAAAGTTTTGACTTGAAAGAATTGAAAATCAAAATCTAAAAGTGGGAACACTATACAATATATTAGTTTGTTACATGTATTTGCAGCATTTCATTTGATATTTTCAGTGTTTAGAAACAAATGAATTGAATTAAATTCAAAAGTATTAAAGTAGAACTGTCATGATGTCATCTTTGAATTTTGTGAAATGACATAGAATATCGGTATCGTCAAAATATCGGTCCTTCATTATCGGTTATCGGAATATCGGTGAATTGCCATATCGGTGCATCACTAACCTTAAGCACAACTACTTAAGTCGTAAACACAAAAATATAAAATTTCCAACAACTTGGGAACCACATGAGCTGTGAATAAGTTGTTACGGCCATTCTAAATCAATTTCAAGGTACTTTCGCGTGATGCAAAAAAATCGCTGCAGCCTAAAACTAATATACATACTGAGGACATTGCTCCTTTCATTAATTCATTTGTGAACCTTGAAACATTTTGTTGTTGTATAGGGAGATTTTGACCCCAGCAAAGTAAAGGTCGTTCACTTCTCTCAGAATCCGTTTACGCATGCGCGGCAACTGAGATCAGCTGAATTTGAGAAATTAAGAGAAGAATGCGAGAGATTGAGAAAGAAAGTGAAGATGTTAGAAGAAGGGAATACATCAAAACCAACCAGAATTGAACAGATTGTCATTGATGAAGCAAGTCCTCATGAAGTTAAAGGTATAAATACTTTGGTTTGGTTTGTTTTGTTAGGGGAGTACATATCCCCAGCGGGGATGAATCGTGTCACGAAAATTTCCCGACCATATAAAAAATCGTTTGAAAGAACTTTATACTGTTAGGCTACTGGAATCAAATTAAGTTAATTCAACTTTCAAATGTCATTTTGGATGTAATATTAGGCGTCTTGTTTTGTAGATTTGCAAGCACAAGTATCAAGTGCAGAACGAAAGAACAAGAGACTAAAAGAGGTGTTTGCTCAGAAAATTCAGGAATTCAGAGAGGCATGTTATTCCCTGACTGGATATCGTATTGATGTCGTTCAGGACCAACAGTACAAGTTGAAATCAATGTATGCAGAAAGATCTTCTGATTGTCTCCTGTTTCAGGTAAGTGGGATTTTTTATAAGGCCGATTCACACTACCCAACTTTTGCGTAAAACTGTCGCATGCAACTTGCTTACAACTTGAGTTGTATACTGTGTAAATCAAGCAAACAACTTGCCTGCGTTGTCGTACTTTTTTGGCTACAGAGGGATGTATATTATACACATCCCTAACGTATTTAAATTTCGGAAATTGTTCAGCGCATTTTCGGAACACCATCGTCATGATTGATTCAAGTATTCAAAATGGCTATTTTCTTTAAAAACGCAAACATGTCATATTCTTCGATAACGTTTTTAGGCATTACAGATTTTTTTTATTTTTGGTATAATGAAAGATTTTTGTACTACAATACAGCGTGCAAAATTTTAACATATATAGATTTCTGAACAAAGTAATGAGATGTAGCGCATTGTTTAAAAAAAAAAACATTTTAATGACGTCAGCAATTGACATGCAACACGCTTTCATAGAATACTATACAGAAGGCCATCTCCATTGTTTTTTGCGTAAGCGCTATTCGTCGCTCAGCAAGTACCGTAAACAGAAGCAGTCACCCCCCTGGAAATGTTCAAAATGGCACATGTCCACGGGGTGGCTGCTTCTGTTTACGGTACTTGCTGAGTGACGAATCATGACGAATAGCGCTTACGCAAGAAACAATGGAGATGGCCTTCTGTATAGTATTCTGTGACGCTATACAACACGCACAATGGCGCGATATGACGTGAACAACTCTCCACCAAATTGCAAGGATTTCTGTAACTTATACCAGTTACAAGTCTAAACTGAACCACTTATACCAGTAAAAATGAACTTATAAATAGTATAGAACAAAAGAGGTACAGAAGAATCTGAAAATGCCATTTCCGGCGATCTAGAGACTATAAATTTCAAAATTTGTCGTTCAGCGCCTTCTGCCATTCGACCCCTCCACCATTATCAAGCACCCTACGCCCCTGGATGAACATAAACTGGTCATAAACATATATGTGGTGCTGATACTTTCATGGAGGGAACTCTTGAAAGCTTGCCCAAATTTTCAGGCAATGTAATGACCTTATGACCTAGCTTATGCCATAGACCATACTCGCGATTTCTCGTTGGGTGTATGCTATATTTGCCTCAAATTTGCCTGAATTTTCTTGAATTTTTGGCAGGAAAATTTTGTGGGGGGGAAAGGAATTTTGGAGATTGTGAAAGGATTTTTGAACAAGCGGTTGTGGATGCACTGATTACTATATCGAGCCACCTTAAATTGGTTGTCCATTTTTGTCTTGTAGTGTAATGCTAATGGGAAAACAATGTTACTGGAGACGGATTTTTCACTTCAAGTTAAGAGTCTCATAGACCAGTATCTAATCCAGTGTAATTCAATCCCGGCATTCCTGAGTAGCGTCACTCTGGAACTCTTCGAAAGGCAAACACAAATGATGAACTGAAAAAAGACGGGACACCAGTACTTATTAAGATAGGAGATCCATTCACAGGGATCCCACACCAAGGTGTGTTATAGCATTACATGTATGGAATATATTGTTCAGTGTTGGAAAGCGGCACGCAGCCTGGTCTTTAACACTGAACTATCATATTTTTTGTATAAACTTTATGATGTTTGCCCCAAGGGGGCTCACATTGACATTAATACAGATACGGGGTTTTTAAGTAAATATTTATCAGTTAAACACAAAAAAATACAATAATTGACAATTTGAGAAAATACAAAAAGAAACAAATTCCTATAATAATAATGCCGTCTTCAAATTCAAGATTTGAATTAATACAAGAACGTTTGAAACTGTGAATTTTCGACTTTATTTCAAAGTCATCAGAGATATTTTATCCAGATATACAATGATCAATATATATATATATATATATATATATATATATATATATATATATATATATATATATATATATATATATATATCTTTCTTTCTATATATATATATATATATATATATATATATATACAGGGTGTATCAGAATAAACGCAA